GTAAATATAAATACGCAACGTACCTATGAACAATAAATTAGATATTAAATCGTGTTCGTTGATAGAAAATATTTGTATAATTCGGTTAACGTCATAACGATACACATTAAACATTGTTTATGCTTCATTGTACATATTTGTCACACAATATACAAGCATATGAATTTTTTAATTTTTATAACTAACATACACACAAAATCTTTCCATATATTGAATTTTACCTTGGAAGCAAGAAGACATTAAGGATGATCCAGAACGTTTCTTCTTGCGTCTTTTGCGCCTAGCTTCTTCTTGTCGAGCTTGCACCGCGCTCATAGATTCGCCCGTGGAATTCACGGTGTCTCTGCAATTTGCATCTTCTGAAACAAAAAAGCACAAACGTATGCTTTAAATAATTACAAGATTTTATAATTAAACATAAAAACTATATAAAAAAATGAATGGAAGATTTTCTATTTTTAAAATTTTTTAAATTTTATATATGAAATTGTAGATATAATTAATAAATAATTAATCAAATATTAAGAATCTATTTTTTACATTTATTTAGAAAAGTTAAATATACAAATCTAATATATTTTGTTATTAAAATTGTTATTAAAATATAAAATAATTTAATAATAATAAAATAATAAAATAATTTATAAATTTGTTACAAAAAAAATAAAACAGAGGAAAATTCAAGAATTTTCAGAAATAATTTTTAAAAATTAAACTTAGATATAGAAGAATTTTTAAAAATGTAAAATGCAATTACATTATAGTTGTTTATTCGCTGAAAAATTTATTGAGAATAAAGTAATTAAAAAAATATATATTAAATTGTATTAATATCATAGCAGATACAATGTACATTGTTTATTTTTGTACATATTTATCTAAACATTAGCTAATCTCAAAGGTTTTTTCACTTTACATTAACAATATTTATATAACATATCAGTCATAGACGATTTAATTTGTTTTTTTTTAATTTAAAAATTCATACATATATGAATATATTATAGTTTATTAATTTTGTAACATTGACATACATTTTCTCGAAGAAGCTAGAAATTTTTATGAATCATAAATTATAGATATTGTTAAAATATACAAATCTTATAAATAATTAAAACAATGTCAATTTGCTAATAATTCAATCAATGAATTTATATCTAACGAAAATATAAATGAAAATAATATATATTATTACAAAATTTAAAAAAAACTGAATAGTTAAAAATATTAAAAAAATTTTTTTAAATTTAACAATTTAAATTTTAAAAATTGTTCGATAAAATATAAAGAATCGCGCGTAACCGCCATATTCGATCGAATCGAAAGTGCATGAATTGGTTGCGTAGGTTGACAAGGAGAAACATTGCATGTACAAACATGTGTAGATAGATCGACCTAGTAATAGAATAATGAATTTTTAATCTTTAATATTGTATTTATTATCAAACTTAATCATCGATTATCGTAAGTCCAAAATCATGAATCGAATTTGAAAAAAAACCGGTAAATTCATGTTTTAATTTTCTGGTATAAAAAAACTGTTCATTACTGAAAAAAATACGCAATCAAATGAAAGTTATTTTCCATATTATTTTAATTATTTTTTTAACATTAAATAGTAATTTAGATGAGAATGAATGTATCTTTTGATTGTTTCGCATCGACGATGCAACGCAATGCAATGCAAGAAGCAACACAACCGAGCATTGAGAGCTCAGAGTTCAATGACTGACACAGAAAAGGAACGCCGCCATCTTACGCGAGATATACGTGTACGAAAATATTATTACCGCGTTTGCAAAATCTGTGACAATAGACAACCAAAATAAACAAATGGAACAACTATACATAAATAAACTACGTCGCTTCTTGAATGTTTGCTTGAAGTTATTTAACGCTTAATAGAACGTTTGTGAAAATTCAATTTGTTTTAAGTTTAAAATTTATTTTAAATTTTGAAATTAAATGATTTCTTTCTATGAATTGTGTTTTTCTCATAGAAAATAATAAATAATTTTTAATCCGAAAATTTTTTTATATATTCTTTGAATTGAAATGTTAATTATACTGACATATATTGTATCAATAAAAAAAATATTTTCCAAGAGATCAAATACATTGAAATCTTTTATTCTTTGGAGCAAACTATTCCCTTTAAAAAAGAAGGGTAGCAACGAATTTAACGTACATACAGGATTCTTCATCTTTCTCTTTTTTTTTCTTTCTCTCTCTTATTCTCTCCCCCTTTTACTCTTTGTTTGGGTTACCCTTACCGACACCCCTTACGATTTGCATCCAACTCGAACAAGACCCAACTAACCCACTTTGACCCTTGAAAATAATTTAACAATATATATATACATATATATATATATATGTATATATATATATATTGCATCGTCGTAACTCTGTCTCGCTTTGCTTCGATATGTTCTTTCTCTCACATCACATTCGCATTCTTCATTGCGTTTAGCTTCGCACACACAGAATTTGTTATGCGTCCCTTTCGACATCACAATCGTATTTTTAACGGTTTTTATTATTTATTCGATTATTAAAAATGATTTACTAATAAGATATTGAACCAAAAAAATATATAAATATACTTTATATTTTATGTGTTGAACGAAATATATTTCCTTCGAAATACAAGAATAGTTATTTTTGTTTCAAAATAAAAAAAATAAAGTAAAATAATATGTAGATATATATTAAGTGGTACATGAAGTGGTGTTACTGATTTAGTTTTTGAACTTTAACAAACTCTTTTATAAAACTTATTATAAAATATTTATATTAATTAAATAATTCGGAATGATTAAAATTTTAAATATTAATTTTGAGAATGTTATATATATAACTGTCAATGTTATCATAATTCAATTGAGAAAATATATTTTATTATAAGCCAGAACGAAATATAATAGAAATGAAAATGTAAGTAAACGGATTTAAAATGTAAGTGAAGGATTTTGCAATTTGAATTGAAAGAACGAAGAAGCTAGCAACGTGCGCACCGGCTTCGAGAAAGTTCTTCCGTCAACCGACTCCGATTGTCACGTACCGTGTGCTCTTCAACAATTGATCTTGAAAATTTTCATCCATTATCTCAATTATTTTATATCCTTTTTTATTTTTACATAAATTGAACTCGAATTTTCAATCGAAACGATATTTCTCTTTTTTTCGATTAATGACGAAGTTCATATGAGAGAATGACATAATAAATTACATAGCAATCATTTATTTAAAATAAAATATAATACATCTATTAAAAAATTATGTTAAATGATTAAATATTAATGATATTATTTTGATTTGTTACTAATAAAAGATTAAAATAGTATCAAATTTCATCATGATCATGTTTAATTTGAAGTGAATTGAATTAACATTTATTATAAAAAGAATCCATACCTCTTGCAACCTCTTGACAACCGTCTTCTCGTTCTTCCAAGATTTTCTCCACCATTTTCGCACAGTTACCACAAGCTTCGGTTTTTTAATATCCAGAAAAGAGTCAAAAAAGGAAAGTGAAGTTCTTATTCAAAACAAAACTTTCTTTTAATTTTTTTCTTCTTTGAATCTTCCTTCTTTTTCAATTAACAAACAACAATAAAACTTCCTCTCTTTTTCGCTCTTAACCCGATATCAATAATTATAAAAAAGAGTCAGTCGTATATACAAAAACATCTATATCCACTAAGTTACTGATATAATCTCCTTTCCCACTATCTTAACTTTTTAAACCACTATGCTGCTTCTCTTAATTCTTTCTCTCTTTACCGACGTATGCTTCCTTTCTTTCTCTCTTTCTTCCTCGGGATAATTCGATGTATATCAGCGTCGGTATCACAGATATAAATAAATATATAAAGGTTATCTATTCCTCTGTTTCTCTAACTCTTGCGATTTATAGGAGCGACAAACGATGCTACTGTGGTAGACAATACCCGGTATAGCTGAATCGTTTGAATAAATACTATCACAGACTTTGACACTGCGCTTTTTCTTTTCTTTTCTTCTCAATTATCTCTCACTTGTTCTTCTTTCTTTCACCTTTTTATTACTTTTTTCTCTTTTACTCTTTCTCTTCACTATCTCCAATGATATGAACAGAGTTCTTTCTGTCTTCTCCACTGCCTTTAATCTGATGAGATATTAAATATCGCGGATAAATCTGTTCCGCGAGAATTGAAATTGTTATACAACTCCTCGATGCCTTCTCGACTTCTATTCTCCAGCGTCAAAACTTCGCCTACTTCTGCTCCCTCGATTCCTCCTCCTCTGCTCCTACCCTGAGACTTTTCGCCGGATAAAACAAAGTTTTTCCGTATGCGAAAATCTCTGGATGGTCGCTGCTCCGTTGTCGGTATCGCACAGCCTTTCGCACGTAGCGGTAACCCGGCTCGGAAGCGCATTAAAAAATCCTTCAGCTAACACATCGAGTCTTTTCTTTTACCTTCCCTCACTGCACGGCAGTTGGTTTCCGACTGAACCTCGCAAGATGGCCGCTTCGCTTACTAACAACCCCTCCACTCTCTTTCGTCGCTGTTCTCGTCCCGGCATCGACGAGTCCTCGATCCCCACCACGCTGTCGTTACTGCCGCTACCCTCCTCCCTTTCCGTTGCTTCTACGTAGCATCGAGCAACTTCGTCGACGCCCTCTGAAACGGCGCCGCGTCACGTAGCTTCTAGGCAGGGGCTCTCGTTTTTCGAAGAGACAAAACTACTACGCTAAAGCCACGTAGTTACCGAATTGAATGATGCAATTTTTATCTAGCTTGCAATTCTATTTTTAGAGAATTCGTCATCGATATTATTTAAGTAAACACGATCTTGACATTCACGTTAACGAATAAATACTCGTATTTATTATATATGAATCATCAATATGAATGATTGAAATGCGATATTGAAACTGACAATTAAAGAATTATTATAATTAAAGAAAATTAAATGTTAAAACTACCTTTCTTCTTCTCTTCCATCCTTAGTTCTTTCCTTTCTCTCTCTCTCTCTCTCTCCCTGTTTAACACTTTTTTCGTTTAATTTTTACAATTTGTTCAAGAGCGTATGAGAATCACTGATTGCTCTCGTATGTTTGGAATCGACTTGCCGGTAATAACGCCATTCTGTACGTAAGATTTCATCATGAATGTTTTTTCAAAAAGCTTGAGTAAAACGTGTTTATCGACTGAATGGTTAGATTATATGTGCAAGATGTTTACAATTTAGCATCATTTATACCCGCATTATAAGGGACCTGAGCCAGATAAACATAGAGGAACGGGAAATATCGCCGAAGCGGTCGCGGCGTGCGTTGTTTTAGGAAGGGATGCGCGCGCACAATGGCCACGTATAACATCACGCGACATAGAAAAAGAATCGAGAGAGACAACCAAGACGAAGTACGAAAGTATTGCTGTTTAAATTTATGTGAAGATGTGCACGGTGAAATAAAATACGAAGAAAGAAGATAAAAAATACGGGAAAGAGAAACGACAAACATTTCTCGTGTTTTATAGTAGTTCAAACGTAGGCATATACACATACAAATGCATTTATATACGTAGTTTTTATGCTACGCGCAGACTCGTGTCGGCCATCGAAGTTTGTTTTCAATCGGCCGACATCGCGTGAACTTGTTGCCCGTATAATCTGTATGGTATTGCGTCGTAAGTTTATTAGCTGTATTATTATTACGTAACATTATACGGTCATTTATTTATCTGGCCATACGATCTACAGTTTTATATATTTGATTTTAAGTTAAAATTAAATCGGAATGAAGCGTTTGCCCAATTAAAAACTTTATTATATATTCAAATCTTTTTATATTATTATGATTTATATTTCGAAAATCGATCTGTTTATTAGCTCCCTTCTCACCGATTATTATAACTATAATCATTACAATTTCGATTATTTCGTTATTTTATTTTTGCATTCCACAAATTTGAAGAATAGATATTAATTAATGATATTAATTCATCTATTATAAGTGAACATTTGCCGGTCGCCTTGATGTGTTTATATAAATAGTTGATAAATACTGATCATATACGTGTCATGGATGTACATCCAGGCAGAATTAATGATAACAAATATTTTTACGAATATCTTGAAAATCGCCAATTATGTGTAAAAGAAAAAAAAAATAATCTATATTAAAATCGGTGAGAATGGAATTAATTAATAAATTCAATTTCAAATATATTACTGAATATGTATATTATAAAAATTATGACTTTCTCATCCATGAAATAGCACATATTATGATAATAATTACATCATCAACATCATGGATGTAATAATCGTATATCCGCATATCGATCATATCGAATTAGTAATATGGGTGCAATGTTCGATCGTTGCGAAAGAAAAATGTTTTTCACTATCACGTGATGTATACAATATGCTTCATTGATGAGTAAGAAATTTTTATTTTCTGTTCAATTTTGTAAAATAATGCTTTCGTAAAAATAATGTTCGATTTGAAAAAAAAATTGAAAGGGACCACTTCTATTACGTAGAAATTCAAGAATCAATCAGATTGAAAGGACATTCTTACCGTGAGAATTCAACAGATTTCGTCTAAACAGAAAATTTAAAGGACAGTGTTCGGTCGCACAAAATAACAGCACAAACCGGTTTTTGCACGTGGCAAAAGTGACTTTGCTGTGCTTGCTATATCAGCAAGCATCCAATACAATACTTATTATCATACTATCAATTTACTATATAACTTTCTTCCATTTTTACACACATATTTTTTCCTCAGTTACTAATGTTTCACAAAATGTTAAAAATAAATATGTTATTCAAACGTAAAAAGAAGTTTAAATGACACAACATCGATTGAAAAAGTTTTGTAGATATGGATAATAAACTGAAAGTACAAGTAAGTGAGAAAAAGAAGAGTACATGATGATTTGGCTAGAAACGAAAGAAGAGTATTAAAAAATAAAATATTAATAATATAATTCGCAAAATAATTTTGTTTGTTTGATTTTTTTTATAGTTGTTTTTCAAATTTTAATATTATCAATCGATCCTTCTTTTTTTTATATTCACATTTGTAGCTTTTTTCATTGTTTTTATGTCATGCCATGTGATATTAGGTAAAATTAATTATCCAAATCAATTCCGAATAATCTTGCATTGCGACAGACAGTAAAAAATTAAATTATGAAAAGTCATCGCTTAAAACGTAATATTTGTAAACCGAAGATAGTATGTGACTCGTAAAAATTTATCTGGTTAATTATATCATTTTGTATACGTGAGGTGACAAAAGTACGCGCAATTTATTCATTTTATCTACTTAACGTTTTTTTTTCAATCATTAGTGACTCATCCAAATGCGATTATCACTTTACTGGATCTCTTGCTTCGCGAAGTGTAAAGAACGCTCATTACAAACTTATTCCGCGTGTTAATATTAGTCCAGTTTTCAAAAATAAAAACAATTTCGAATAAGTTTTAGTATTATTTGATTCCTTTGAAAAGTTAAATCGAATTATTATGTTATTATTGATAGAATACAATTTCGAATTATTAAAATTTTAGCTTATTTAATGATAAGAAAGTGAAAAATAGACGATAAAAATCAATCGAGACAAGAGGTGAGGACATATTTGCCATAGCAAGGCAACTGCGTATCTTGTGCTGCGTGGTGAAGTTAAAGCAGAACTATCACGGTATAGTATGGACGCGTAGTACGTTACGTAATTCACCGGCTGCTTTGAACGAGATTCGTTCGTCTCTTCTCTCTTATAACTCTCACTTATAAATTTATATTTTTACGAAAATAATAGCTTATATACACATACATACATACATATATACATACATATATATATATATAAAGAATAGATTAATAAATTTAGCAATGGATCATGGTGATTCGAACTAATTTAAAATAATAGGTTATAAAAATACGATAAAATATTATAACGAGCTGTGAGCTTGGAAGATAATTTTTAATATACCGATATGTATATGATTGTATCGATAGGATGATTTATACGATACGAATATACATACATGTGATAAAGAATATTAACATATAAAAGAAGATTGTAAATATTATATTGGAGAAGAAATGTAAAATAAATATGACTTTTTTTATTTTTGTTATTCATTCGTGGTTATGTAAATTTGTTATTTAAAAAACGATGTTTTGAGAAAGAAATTACCGGCAGATAAATTTTTTGACAAACTGGTCGATTCATAAGCAGCTGAGGTGAAAGGAGTGAGAACGATCTTCGAACGATTCTTCATGTAGCACGTGTATCCATAATTCAAGGTTAAATAATGGGACGCACAAAAGGTTCTCCTTGTTTAAGGTTTTCCGTATGACAATTAATTTTAAATAATTGTTTTATCACGCATACATTTCGTGTGAGACATCGAACGTTCCACATATTTTTACTTGAATGGAAAATTTATTTGAATCTTGAAAAATGACAGAAATCGTTCAATTTCGAGATCACGTACCATGTGAAATTGAATCATGTGCACTGGCGAGATGGAACACGATTGGATATTACCGACAAAGAATCATGAACATCGTAAACAACGGAACATGTTAATGCGCATGCGCGTACGTAATGTTTACTCTTTGTAACAAGTAGTATGTATGTATATTGTATGTATGTATGTAGTACGTATATATATTGTATGTATGCATGTAGTATGTATATTAAATTGTAATAATAATCATGTGTATAATTGTTGTAATGAAATTTATCGAAAACGAGAACAACAGAAAGAATGAACGATCATCCGATGTAATGAAAAAAGAGAATAGAAGATAATAAACAAAAAGAATATTATTTTATTGGATCATGTACCAATAAATATCCGATCTGGTATATCTTTATAACGAAATGCGGATATAAGCTGATTCATTTATTATTATTTCGCACACTGCAAAAGAAATATTATCATTGATAGCGAACGATATCGGTAAATTGTACGCACTAATAAACATTCGATCTGCTAGATTTTTATGATGCAACGATATATGGAAACAAGCTGATTCATTTATCGACTATTCCATGTTATATCAGCATGGAATCGCGGCGGAATTAGTTGCAAATCCATGGTGTCGAGCGAATTGGTAGAGGTCATCGACCATTATATATCGTACTCTTTCCAGCATTTGTCCGCTATGCTTATTTCTGGATATCGCCTGGGTCATCTACCGTATGGCCTCGTGGGTCATACGCGCGGTTCAATGTTGCTTTAGTTAAACGCTTCAAGGTAAATTGAACACCTTCACAAATCTGTTCTAAGATTGTACAATCAAAATGGACGGTAACAAATGGTAGTAAGTAAGAGAATTATGAAACAGAATTCGATCGTTTTTTACGAGAGAGGAGAAAGATTTGAGAAAAATTGGTGAAATTATGTTACACGGGAAAAAGGCAACGAATTTAGCTGACCCAAGAGAAAGATTGGTGTGTTACATAATTCATGCCAAATTTCTTACGATACTATATTCATTGTATTTCCACATTCCTCCATGAAGATGGATTAAAAGTTCGAATTAGTGAAACATCGAGCCTAACTACATATATATTATCCGACAGTTATACTGGTATGTAATCTTGATTTTATTAAATTTATTATGAATTATATGATATTATCCATCTCCTTTTCGTTTGAATAAAAATGACAATAAAAAAAACAGGTAATTATTTCTATAATAATATAATAATATAAGGTAAAGGAATAAAATATTTATTTCAAATAAAGATGTATCTAAATAAAATCTTGGATAATTTATTCGACTAAACTATTTTCGTTACTATTTTCAAATAATTTATTTATCAGACATTTGATTTTTTTAATTTGATTTTTCGAACAAGAATAGATAGGGAATATAATAACTATTTAATTTCTCAGTTTAAAAAGTATGAAAATTATTAAAAATAAAATTAAAAGTAGAAATTTACAAAAATTATCCCAGAAAAACATTTTTATATTTTTGTATCAAAATGTTCGTATATCAAATAAAATAATAATAATTTATCTTTCAAATACATTATTGTTCAAACAATCTTGCAAGATAAAATAACAAAATAAAATAAAAATTTTATATTTATTTCGTTAAAACTCAATCTTGTATAGAGAAGTACAAGTGTACAAACACAATAGCACAAACGAAGAAAACACTTCAATTCGAAGTTTCGTATTGTTTTGTCTTTATCTCGAACAAATGCTTGAAGCGCGATTTTTAAAGGATTTTACGTTAAATGAATCAACGATAAAGCTTATGTGTATATATATATATATATATATATATATATATATATATATATATA